GTTTCAAAGCCAAAGAACCAGCGCTGTCCGAAGACGTCTCCGTGGTCATGTGGCCGGCATGACTAAACGCAGAAGGCGCACGGAACGCTTTAACCTTCCCATCAAAGGTGGTTCCTATTTTTCTACTTGCATTTTTTACGTGCTTTCGAACTGCTAGGTTGGCAGAAGCTGGGACAAGTAACGGGAGTTCACCCTGTTACGCGGCGCTAGGGATTTGAACTGCTAAACTGCCGACTTTCTGATTGACAAGCTCCGCATCTTAGCCACAAACCATTTTGTCTCATTCATTTTCTCAGCGATACTCTTCCAAATCGTCCTTGTTCCCGGACAGTTCCTTCCATTCTTTCACCGGACAATTTTGCATCAATGAGCCACCCTGAATGAGAACTTAACTGTTCCTTTGGAGTCCCCTGTTTCCTCCAGCTTGCTTGGAAAAATCACTCCCAACCATTTTCTTTTTGGATTCCCTTTTTCTAGATAGAGCAAGTGAGCCAGCTATTAGTCTTAGTAGAAGCTGCACTGGATTACCATAAGCAGTCTGCGGACATTTTGGAGGATCTGCAGAGAAAACTACAAAATAGGTAAGCATCGTCATGGATAGGTTACATTTCAAACTGAGGAAGCTCTTTAGAAGTTTGAAGAAGTGCTATTTATAGGGCTGGTTGTCTAGGATACTAAACCAGTTTTGTTAATAGCAATATCACTTAGACTTATATACCACTTCACTTCTGACCCGTCCCCACACTTATTACTCTCAAAACATCCTCATGGTTGCATGATCAAACGCTGAGTGCTTGGAAACTGTCATGTATGTCTTGATTAGCAACAATTCACAAATTACAATGGTTAAAAAAAAATTCTACCTTTGCAAACAATCTTTGCTTTTATGGTTGACGCAGCAATAAAATAACAATAGCGCTTAGACTTATATACCTCCCCATAGTGCTTTACCGCATTCTCTAAGCGGTTTACACAGTCTGCCTTTTGCCCCCAATAATCTGGGTCCTCCTTTTGCCCACCTCGCTCAGAAGGATTGAAGGAAGAGTCAACCTTGAGCCTGCTGAGAGTTGAACTGCCACATTGCAGTCAGCAGAAGCAGCCTGCACTACTGCACTCTTAACAACTGAGCTTTTAAGTTAACAACTGGCAGATACATATATATATATATATATATATATATATATATATATATA